AAGGCGACTAGGGAATGGAGGCCCTATGTCTAAAAAGGCTCAACTCAAGGATTGGAGCCCTAACATTGGCAGAAGGCGACTAGGGAATGGAGGCCCTATGTATACAAAGGCTCAACTCAGGGATTGAAGCCCTAATGTTGGCAAAAGGCGACTAGGGAATGGAGGCCCTATGTCTAAAAAGCTCAACTCAGGGATTGAAGCCCTAATGTTGCAGAAGGCGACTAGGAAATGGAGGCCCTATGTCTAAAAAGCTCAACTCAGGGATTGGAGCCCTAATGTTGGCAAAAGAGTAACAGATTGAGGTTGGGAATCTAAGCTATCATTTTGTTTGGGTTTTCTTCTTTTTCTTTCTTTTTTTTCATTTTCATTTCATTTTTTAATAAAATGCAGGAAAGAACTTGGAGGAAACTTCCCTTTTTGGATTGATTATTTGCTGCAAAGCTGTTTCTAGCTTTTGCGCATCTTTTCCTTTCGGTTGTACATGCTTCTTGCACGGTTGCTCTGGATTGCACCTGTTTCAATTATTTTTTCAAAAAAAAACTTGTTAGTTTTAAATGGTGGTCGGTTTTTGTGGCCTTGATTGCGTTGATCACTTGATGTCGGCCCAACTCTTTGGTGAGAACCTCTGCAGTTTGCGGGCTTGCTGAAAACTGATCTCTCTCCTGAGACTGAGGAACTCAACTTTCCAAACTTCCTAGATGATGACTCAACCGTGCAGGGCTTTGGCCTTTTCACTTTATCCCCTCCTTTTAGGGCTTTTGACTTTGGATTTCTTCCATTTTCAAAATTTTTGGCTTCAGAGCATCAGCTATCATGGCCAATCAGGATTGACTCGATGCACCCACTGAGGCTGGGTACTCTTCTTTGATTTGGCTTTTACCAAGCGGAAACCAGTGAAACCAATCTTGCCACCTTGTCTTTATATCAGTTTCAGCACGGAATTATACCGAAAGGGATTTAAGAAAGAGTAAACAAAGGACAAGTAAACCGAATTTAAAGGAGAAGCGTCCTTTTCGGGAGGGAAGGAAGGATTTATCTGGGGGGTGCATGCGGGATTCAACAAACATGACATGCTTCTTGGACTGGATGTCCGAATCGAGAAACCTATCCAGGACTCCAATGGTGGCAAGTGTGTCTTCTTTTCGATCAACGACGCCCTTTGCGGATTTTCACCAATCGACCTCTATCATTTCTCTTCTCACCATCACCTGATAGTGCTCTTTATGAGTTTTCACTAACCAAGCTCTCTCATTTTCAATTTCTCTGCTCACCGTCGCCTTATGGTGCCCGTAGGTTTTCACCGATAAGACTTTCTCATTTAATTTCTCTCATTTTGATTGTATCAGATCCAAACAGTTGTGTTTTCTAATTCCGACGCCTTTGCTGATTGATCAGAATGACTTGAACAAGGTTTGGGTAAAAAGAATTTGGATGAAATTACAACTTCGAAACCAATCAGGTAGGCTCATTGCCGAACCATTATAACATCTGCCCCGGTTTCACTTTTGGGGAAAATTGGATTTTTGTTTTGGTGTGAATGAACCCCAGGGAAAGGTTGCCTACATATCCTTTCGGAATCAAGTCGAATGTAGTTCAGGGAAACATTTTGTTTTATTGTTTTTGCTTTTGTTTTTTGCTTGCTTTTTTTTAACACATTACCATTCCCAAGAGGGTAATCAAATAAGAGTAACCAGCTCAAATGGGTTTGCAAAGGGTGGGGAGTGTTTTGGTAGCGAGAATGAAATCCTTCGTCATCCCAATCAGACAAAGTTGTCACTAAAGAAAAGCTAAACATAATACCTTTTGACTGCATCCACATTTACAACTGTTTCGGGATCATTCCCTTCGATATCGCCCAGATACAATGCCCCTTTTGGCAATATCTTTCTGATGATGTATGGGCCCTTCCAATTAGGAGTAAATTTTCCTTTCGCTTCCTAGTGATGGGGAAGGATGCGCCTTAAAACAAGTTGCCCTACTTCAAAATTTCTAGGCCGCACTTTCTTGTTGTAAGCACGGGCCATTCTTTGTTGGTACAACTACCCGTGGAAGACCGCGACCATTCGTTTTTCATCGATCAAGGTTAACTGTTCTAGCCGAGTTTTAACCCACTCACTGTCTTCAATTTCAGCTTCAACGATGATCCGTAGAGAGGGGATTTCAACCTCCACGGGTATTACGGCTTCAGTGCCATAAACCAAAAGATACAGGGTGGCTCCAATTGATGTGCGCACAGTAGTGCGATATCCCAACAATGCAAACAGTAACTTTTCATGCCACTGCCTGGAACTTTGAATCATCTTTCTCAAAATCTCTTTGATGTTTTTGTTTGCTTCTTCGACGACACCATTGTCTTTGGGCCGATAAGGAGTAGAGTTCCGGTGCATTATCTTGAATTGTTCGCATATCTCTCCCATCAAATGACTATTCAAGTTTAAAGCATTGTTTGTGATAATAGTTGCAGGAATGCCAAAATGGCAGATAAGATTGGAGTGCACGAAATATACCATAACTTTCTTAGTGACGGATTTGAGAGTGATGGCTTCAACCCATTTCGTGAAGTAGTCAATAGCAACTAGTATGAATATGTGCCCATTTGAGGCTTTCGGCTCGATTGGCCCAATGACGTCCATACCCCAAGAAACAAATGGCCAAGGTGCATGAATCAAATCACCGTGCACCTGACACTGTTGACACTTCCGGACAAAACTAAAATAGTCCTTTTCAATAGTCATCCAGTAATAGCCCACTCGAAAGATTTTCTTTGCTAAGACATGCCCGTTCATGTGGGGTCCGCATACTCCCACATGTACCTCATGCATGATTCTTCCAGCCTCTTCCGCATCAAGACATCTCAACAAGTTGAGGCCCGGAGTTCTCTTGTACAAGACATCACCACTCAAAAAGAAACCACTCGCGTACCGCCTAATGGTTCTCTTCTGGTTTCCACTGGCTTGCTCGGGATATTCTTGCATTTTCAAAAACCTTTTGATGTCATGATACCATGGTTGGGTATTTGGTGCTGTTTCAACCGTATTACAATAACCATGCCTTTCTTGAATTTGGATTTCCAATGGATCAATGTAGGCATCGCCTGGGTACGACAGCATTGAGGCTAAAGTGGCAAGTGCATCAGGTAGTTCATTGTGGCAGCGAGGAATGTACCTGAACTCTATTGACTTGAATCGTTTGCCAAGTTCTTCCACATGTTTCCTATAAGGAATAAGCTTGACGTCTCGGGTTTCCCATTCTCTTTGAGCTTGTTGGATAATCAAATCTAAGTCTCCCATGATTAATAGTTCTTCAACATCTTGGTTGATTGCCATGTTCATGCCCATAATGCAAGCTTCGTACTCGGTAGTGTTGTTTGTGCAGAAAAACCGAAGCCTAGCGGTGGCCGGGTAATGTTGACCGGTGGGCGAGATCAAGATTGCCCCAATTCCAACACCTTTTGCGTTTACCGCTCCATCGAAGAACATTTTCCAAGCATTGATGTCTTCGGATATTGCCTCAACTAAGTTTACCTCTTCATCCAGGAAGTAAGTATTCAAAGGTTGGTATTCATCATCGATCGGATTTTCAGCAAAATGATCGGCTAACGCCTGGGCTTTCATTGCCATGCGAGTGACATATACTATGTCGAATTCCGTAAGCATGATCTGCCACTTTGCTAGTCTCCCAGTGGGCATTGGCTTCTGGAATATGTATTTTAAAGGATCCAACCTGGTTATGAGGTAAGTGGTGTAGGCTTGCGAATAATGCCTCAGCTTCTGAGCGACCCATGTCAAAGCGCAGCAGGTCCTTTCCAACAAAGTGTATTTGGCTTCATAACTGGTGAATTTCTTGCTCAGATAGTAAATAGCCTGCTCTCTCTTTTTGGTCACATCGTGTTGCCCAAGGACGCAACCGAAAGAATTTTTCAAGACTGTCAGGTACAAGAACAAAGGCCTTCCTGGCTCAGGTGGGACCAAGACTGGCGGATTCGATAGATATTCCTTGATTTTATCAAAAGCTCCTTGACATTCATCTGTCCACTTGATTGTTGCATCTTTCTTAAGCAATTTGAATATGGGTTCACATGTGGATGTCAATTGTGCAATGAATCGACTGATGTAATTCAATCTACCCAACAGACTCATAACATCCTTCTTGGTTTTCGGAGGAGGCAAATCTCGAATATACTTTATCTTTGTTGGGTCTAACTCGATGCCCCTCCGGCTGACGATGTATCCCAAGAGTTTGCCGGATGGTACCCCAAATGCACATTTGGCTGGGTTCAACTTCAAATCATATTTGCGTAGCCACTCAAAAAACTTTCCCAAGTCCCGAATGTGGTCGTCTTGGGTTTTGGATTTGATGATTACATCGTCCACATACACCTCTATCTCTTAGTGCATCATATCGTGAAATATGGCTGTCATGGCCCTCATATAGGTTGCCCCGACGTTCTTTAGACCAAATGGCATGACCCTGTAATAGTATGTACCCCAAGGTATGGTAAAAGTTGTCTTCTCTGCATCTTCTTCATCCATCAACACCTAGTGATATCCTGTGTAACAATCCACGAAGGACTGTATCTCATGCTTGGCGCAGTTATCAACAAGGATGTGGATGTTTGGCAAAGGGAAGTTATCTTTGGGACTTGCCTTGTTTAAATCTCTATAATCCACACATACCCGGGTCTTCCCGTCTTTCTTTGGCACTAGGACTACATTAGCTAACCATGTGGCATACCGGACCACTCGGATCACCCCCGCTTTCAACTACTTCGTGACCTCTTCTTTGATCTTGTCACTGATATCAGTTTTAAAGTTTCTCTGCCTTTGCTGGACTGGGGGACAGTTTGGGTAAGTAGGAAACTTATGAACCACCAATCTACACTCAGTCCTGGGATGTCGTCATATGACCAAGCAAACATATCTTGGAACTCAAACAAGAGTTGGATTAAGGCGTCTCGAGTTTTTTCATCTGCGTGAATGCTTATCTTGGTTTCCCTGATTGTATCATTTAAGTTCGGCTTAGGTTTATTCTCAAATTGTTCCAATTCTTGATTTATTTCCTTAAAAGCCTCTTCTTCATCGTACTCCGGTTCTTGGTTCATCATTTCATAGTTAAACAGTGTGTTCGGATCTGGGCATCAAGTCAGCAAGCATGTCATGTTATTTAAAGCCGCATTGTTAGAACTGAAAGAAGAAACGAAAGGGAAAAATAGCAAAAATCAGAAAGAATAAAGAAAGATGAATGATGAAATATTGATTTCATTTCTTGGAATTTGAAGATAAAAGGGTTTACATTGGAAAATTAAAAGATAAGAAACTAAAGAAAACATCCGAGTTACACCCTGAAATAACTCATGATGTAGAAAATGTGGCAATACAGGTCTACCGGGACTCCCGCCTGATTGGGAATGGCGTAGCCTTCCAATTTTGTAGCTTGGCGTCAGGTCCCATATACAGCACCTCAGCGGTGCTTGAGCCCTCCCCTAGCTGGACGATGTGGGTTTCATATAGTATCTTCCTCATTGCCCCACAGATCTCTTCAATCTCTTCAGCCATGAAGGCCTCATATTCTTCTTCCTCATGGTATTTTAGCTTGACAAATGTTCTGTACAGATGCGGTACCGGCTGAGGCAAGACCCAACCATCATTCTTTCTATCACTTGCCCATTTTACATCAGTTGGAGTGGGTCAGAAGCCTATCCCAAAGAACATTTCACTAGCGGTCAGGGTAACAGGTTCAATTATTCCTTGCAATGATTTCCCGAGCCCATTCCCCGGTTTGAAGCCATGTCTGATCATTTCTTTGGCCACCATGATTGATGCATTAGAAAGAAAGGGTTGAGGGTAAGGGTTTCCCTCTTCGTACTAGTCTACGACCACAATTTCAAAGGCCTGATAAACTATGTGCTCACTCCCCTCTCTCGCTTCAAGACATGGGACTGATGGGTCCCGATAAATTGATTGCTCGTCTTCCCCGTGGACCACAATCTCTTGATCTTCATGCTCAAAATTTACCATCTGATGAAGGGTAGAGGGTACAGCCCCCGCTGCATGAATCCATGGCCTTCCCTAAAGAAAATTGTAGGATGTGTCCATGTCCAGAACCTGGAAGGTTACTTCAAAGTCTACTGGGCCTATGGTTAGAGTCAGATTGATCTCTCCAATTGTGTCCCTTTTTATACCATCGAGAGCCCGTACACAGACATTGTTGGGTCGAATTCTTTCGGTCCCGATTTCTATGCGTTGTAGAGTTGAGAGTGGGCAGATGTCTACCCTAGAGCCTCAGTCCAGCATAACCCCTTTCACATAGTACCCTTCGCATTTGACTGTCAGGTGCAGGGCTTTGTTATGCGCGGCCCCTTCTGGGGGCAAGTCATTTTTGCTAAAGGAAATCTAGTTAATTGCAAAAAACCTTTCTGCCATCCTTTCCAACTGCTCTACAGAAGTCTCAATAGGAACATATGCTTCGTTAAGGGTTTTGATCAATACCTTCTGATGTTTGGTGGAGTTCATCAGCAAAGCCAACAAGGAGACTTGTTTGGGAAATTTTCGAAGCTGGTCGATTACCTCATAATCCACCATTTTCATCTTTTGAAAGAAAATCTCCGCTTCTTCAGCAATTACGGGCTTCTTAGATGGGAATCGCTTTCGAGTGGCATTGTTCACCTCTTCCAAGTTAGAATACTTTTTAACGGGGTTATTTTCTTGAACTTCTCCTGAGATTACTTTGCCTTTATAGGTCACCACCGTTTTGTCGTAGTTCCAGGGCACAGCGATAGGATCTGTCATGGGCTTCTGTGGCGCGCGTCCAATAACCACGGGCTCACTCAGCCTTGGTGGATTAATTGTCCCCCGCATCACATAGTCTCCCTTGGGCACATACATTTGGGCTACCTTGGTCAGCTCGAATCTCCTAGGAGGACTCAAAGTCATCTGTTTATCTTTGCGACCTCGAGGGACATAGAGAACAGTATCTTTGGGAGGTGTTGCCCCAATCCCCGCTTCAACTTTCTTCTCTGATTTTGGAGGGGTGGTTTTGTTCTTTTTCTCCCCTTTGTCTTGCTTCGGGGCAACTTTTGGTTGCTTTTCTACGTCAGCAATGGCAATGATGGCCTTCAATGTCGGGTCAAATTCCTTATCCTCACAAATCATTCTGATTACCAGCCCGTTGTTGTGGGCTGGCAGTGGGTTATTAGTCACATTGGGGACATCCTCATCCCTTAGCACTATCTTCCTTTGTTCTATCAAATTCTCCACTGCTCTCTTCAGAGTCCAGCAATCATCAGTGTCGTGCCCTTCCTCCCCTGAGTGGTAGGCGCATCGGGCACCAGCTCTGTAAGAGGGAGATGTTAGGTTTTGCCTAGTTTGAGGAACCGGCTGTAGCAAACCCATTTGGACAAGCTTTGGGAGCAAGCTGGAGTAGGATTCGCCGATTGGTGTAAAATTTGGCCTTCTAGGTGGTTCACGAGGGGGAAAATTGTTTTGTGGAGGACGGGGGTTGTAGTGATTTTGGTAAGGAGGCTGGTTTCTAGGAAATGGAGCTTGGTTACAGTTGGCTTGTTGTTGTGGACATACATAAGGTTTAGCATTCATGATCGTGTATGAATGAGGAGCATAGGCCATGTCCTGGTGGGGGTAATACTGTTGCGGGGCCCTTTCTAGGAGAAGGGATCTGGGAGTATGGTGTTTTCTTGCACCCGACTCTGCCATGGATGTTTCTTCCTTTTTCTTGCCTTTCGCTATTCCTTCGGACCCACCCTGAATGGCTTGGGAAGTAGCTCTGATAGCGGATTGGCTTAGAATTCACCCCGTTTTCAACCATTTCGCCAATCTTGATGGCTTCAGCGAACGGTTTACCCATAGCAGACATCATATTTTGGAAGTAGTCGGCTTCCTAAGCCTGGAGGAAAACTGTGACCATTTCGACCTCATCCATCGGAGGTTTTACCCTAGACGCCTGCTCTCGCCATTTAACTGCGTACTCCCGGAAGCTTTCCGAGGATTTCTTTTTCAAGTTCGTCAACGAGTTCCTATCTGGAGCAATATCGATGTTGTACTGGAACTGCCTGACGAAGTCTCTAGCATGATCATCCTAGATATGCCAGCGGTATATATCTTGGTCCATATACCACTCAGAACCGATGCCAACCAAACTTTCTTCGAAATAGGCCATGAGTAATTCTTCCTTTCCACCCTCCCCACGCAATTGATTGCAATATTTCTTGAGATGAGCAATAGGATCACCGTGCCCATCATACTTCGCAAATTTTGGGGTTTTGAATCCCAATGGTAGGTGCACATAGGGGAACATGCACAAGTCGGCATAG